ACCGTTCTTTGAGCCTAGCACCGTCACGAGGACGATGCATCCCGTCCGCTCCAGTAACGATCAACTGTCTCCTGGAGCCAGCAAGCGACGTGGAGAGTATTAGACAGGTAGACACCTTGTCAACATTCTTATCAGGCGCAGCCACACCGGGGAGCTCAATCAAAATCTACTTCTGAAATGTAAGAATACTCATCACGCAGGCATATGTACCACATACGCCGCCTTTTTGACCTGGATTAGTAACTAGAGTGGAGCGTAAGCATCGTGCTTCTATTCCTCGTGCAATAGTGCATTCTCCAGCACTTGGGCAACCGCCCTCTTTATCAGGCCATGGAATTTGCACCGATCCTCTTTGCCTTGGATTCGCGACACCTGAACTCAACATTAGTTCGTCATAAACTCACCTTCTTCATACCCTGGTAGTGTTATTTTCCGTTTGCCTCAGTGCCGCCTCCCAGCAGTAAGTTGATCGTACAATAGCGGTATGAGTATCCAAGTTGAATTCATTCGGTATACATATATACGTAGATTGGCAACATCCGTGTCCAATGGCAGTGCGAATACAACATATGCACATGCGTCTGTCCAATCTTACGTATGAACTGCCACATACACCTGGTTGGCAGCATCCGGTTTCGGATTTGCCTGTCATTCTGGCCAGCCACAGGACGTCTGCGCCTGCAGAGAGACCATGGGTGCCTTGCGCTACACTACCCACAGCTCCAAAGACACACCCCATATCCAGTGCAAACCCGAAGGAATAAGACCGGCAGTAATATGGATGGGAGCCAGGTTTCATCAACGGAGCCGGCTCACACTCCTTCACAGGCAAACACAAGCACGCTGTAGTTGGGGAATCAATCCCACACAAGGCGGTGGCTGGACCGTAGTCCGCTCCACACTGAGTGCATGGAACCACTCTTCGAGCCTAGCACGACCACAAAAACCGTGCATCCCGTCCCCTCCAGCAACGACCAACTGTCTTCTGGAACCAGTATGGACGAGGTAGTGGGTAATAGACAGGTAGGCACCTTGTCAACATGCACATCAAGCGCAGCCACACTGGGGATAGCAAGCAACAGCCAATCACTTGAGAGAAAGATAACCGAGAAAATAAATCCAGTAATGCATAAGGAAACGGTGACATAAATCCTAAATTAATGAGCATATGAAATAAGTTTACAAACGAATACGAGGTAAGTTCACGAGGTCAGAAAGTATACTTTAAGGAAATGCCACGAACAAGAAAATGTTATCGAAATCGACTACAATTGGCTTAAGCGACGTGTGCAAGTTAATGGAAAAGAGTACAAGTAGACATTTATATGAGAAAGAAAAGCATTAGGACAAAATTGAAAACCCACCACCTGAAATAAATAGACTTAGCATGCAAGCACGCGGTTAGTAAATCGAATGCACCGTACCTACAAACGCTGCGCCGGTTCTGCCCACGTTCTCTGCAGGACCCGTCGTCGCTTCGGCAATGGTCCCGAGTGGCCTCGCTCATGGCTCACTAGGCCTGCCTGACTCAGGCACTCGCGACCGCATGCGCTACAGCACCATGCGCTCGATGTCGATGGAGAACAACCCATCGATGCATGCCGCTTCCGCAATGATCGCTTCTTCTCTGCATGTATGAGGTCTTTCTCTCGCACTTCGGCAACTGCCTTCGTGATTACATTGCGCTATGCACGCCGATCAACCGCCTTCGATTCCCATGACCAGCAATCAAGATTAGAACGTGAAAGGCTCACTTTGATCATGTCCTGGTAACGTAGCTTTGGTTTCCCAACATGCCATTTCCAAATACTCAGCTGACCGTATAAGAGTTGTTTCGGTATCCGCGTTGAATCCATACGCCACACATGACCGAGCCACCTCAGGTGTCTCAGTAAAAGTATGCAATCCACTGCATACATCCCACTTTGTCGCAACACTTCCGTGTCTGCAACTCTGTCGCCCCAACTGATGCGCAAAATTCGTCGCAGACACTGCTGATGGAACCGCTAGAGATATCGCACATCCCGACGGTACATCGTCCACGTTTTACTGCCGTATAGAAGAACGGACAGCACCATGGATTTGTACACCATCAGCTTCGTGCTAATGTGAAGCTGATGGTTGTTCAACACTCGGTACTCTAGCTCCCCGAATGCCACCGCTGCCTTCGACACGCAAATACGCAGCTCACTGTGTAGCTGCTGGTCAGTCGACATCACACTCCCAAGGTAGCAAAAGCGGGAGGTGGTTTCCAATACTTCGTCACCAGTGCTGATTCGCGGCAATATTGAAGATTCCACCTCCGGTGAAGGCAGAAAGAGACAGACAGTTTTGCTTGTGTTGATGGTGAGCCCGAATTTGGCCGCTGTCGAAGCCAGAGCACTAGTCATGTGCTGCAACTCATCCGCGTTGTGTGAAAACAACGCACAGTCGTCGGCAAACAGCAACATACGGATAGTTGTCTCACAGACTAGAGTTCTCGCACCGAAACGACGGATGTTCAGCAACCCACCATCAATACGGTGCTCCACACGAACACCGTAAGCACAAGCGGCATCAAAAGCATAAGACATCATTGCATGAAGATAGATATTAAACAGGGCAGGAGCTAAGACACAGCCTTGCTTCACACCAGAGACAACTGCAAAGTCATCCGAGGTCTCTCCACTCAGCTGCACCCTCGCTCGCATACCATTGTGCAGACATTCAATTGAACTTACAAACTTACTCGGGCAACGAAACTTACCCAACACCAACCACAATGCCTCGCGGTTCACCGTATCAAATGCCTTGGTGAAGTCAACAAAAAGTGAGTACAATGGCTGGTGTCGTTCTCTGCACTTCTCCTGCAACTGACGAGCCGCAAACCCATATCTATAGTGCTGCGACCCGAACGGAATCCACACTGCTCTTCCGCCACGTTAGGTTCCACAACCTGAATGACGAGGCGGTTGAGCAGGATTCGGGCAATCACCTTGCCCACAGAACTCAGCAACTTGATGCCACGATAATTCGTGCAACATTGTTTGCCCCCTTTGCCCTTGTACAATGGTAGCACAAGGGCATCCTTCAGCTCAGCAGGCACCTCCTCCTCAATCCATACACGTTGCACCAAGTGGTGCAGTGCAGTCAACAACGCAGGTCCGCCGTGTTTCAATACTTCAGGCGGGATCCCGTCGGCTCCGGCACATCTGCCGTTTCGCAGCTGAGCAAGTGCTCTCTGCGTCTCATCCAGTGTCGGTGTGTCTGCCAGACTCGTCCTCACATCATGCTGCTTCAAGTAGTTCAATGTAGGCCAGTCGATCTCTGAACGGTTGTTCAAGAGACAAAGTGATTTCGCCAGATCTGCATTATGTCTGCAGTCTGTGTGCAGGTAGCGCCTGAACAACCATCGACCAGCGTCCTCAGCGGCTCCAATCTCGGTCCATACAGAGCCTTCAAGGAGTCAAAGAATTGCTTGTGTTGGCGGCGTTCGGCGTAGCATTCCATCTGCTTCGCCTTCTCCGTGCACCACGCATTTTTAATGCCTGTCCGTCCGCACTTGTAGCAGAGTAAGCTTCTCGTGTGCTTTGCATTATGTGGTCGGCTGCGTCTCATCCGTACTGGCCGTCAGGCGGTGCAGTTTGGGGTCGAGTCTGCACTTCATATGTGGCCACACCAAAGTGTGACGGTGAGCGTGCGTGCAGTCGTATGGACGCTTGCGGTCAAACACAAGGTGTCGATTGGACGGTCTCAGTTTAGAGAGAACGCGTCGGGTTTCCTTCCGGTGCGCAGTGGTACTGAACGGAAGGTGCTGATAGACCAGTTTCTTCGGACTAACGGTACTTTTACGGACTAAAACCAAAGCGAAAGTATGATTAGACACCTCTGAATTTACAGAGTAGTTAATTCAATCACGTAAGATGAGTTAAATGGGACAAAAGTGCACATGAAGCCCTGCTTGGAAAAATGAGGATTCGCGTAACGAAAACACAGATGACAGTAAAGGAGACCACAGAACGAAAACTAATACACCGTTGGTTGTGAGGCTGTCGGCTGCGCAGAGTAACAGCTGGGGGCGGAGAGCACTGAGTGGACAACAGATGTGGACATTCTATGAGTCGTGATTCAGTTACATATTCGAAGCCCCCTTACCTTCGCATGCGAACGACGCATGGTATGTGTGACAACAGCCAGTTGTTTGGGTGAATGTGACCAACGTCTTGCAGGCAGACAAGAGATCAAGGAAGCGCTGCCCACCTCGGCTGACAATGATCACAGCACAGGATCGATCTAGAGTGAACGAAGCGCATCTTGGTTACAGACAAGGATGATGTGAATTGGTCCGAATAGTAAGCGCGACAACGGATCCAGACTGACAACATGAGGTATACTGGAGTCTATTCAACTGAACGGACTGAGTTAGCGCGTAACTATTGAACAGAGGGCGAACAAGGCACCGCGCAAGTTAACTGAGAATGATTGAACGGATCAAACAGATAGCGAAGAATTGGTGTGAGCAAGCATGAGTCAAGTTCCACGTGGTACTAGACAGCGCCGGATTGGAATGGATGGGGCAAAGCGTGTGCAGACCAATGAACATAGACGGATGCGATAAGACGTTACAATAGAAAATAACCCATGAAAAGCCACTATAATGGAATAGCCTTCGAGGTCTTGCACAGTACAAATTATCTCAAGTCTCATTAACAACGGATTTTGATTAGTGTTCACTGTTTTGACTCTCGGATGACTACACGATGGTTTCGGGACCGACACACATCGCTAGGACACTGTCACATTTCTGCCCCTTGGACGGCGGAACAGGAGCACAAAATTATTTGAACACCTGCAGTAAACTGATGATTTGGTCGTCCGACCTCGAGACAAAGAAAGAAAAACAACACGACACTACGAACATATGTAAACATGTTTAAGGCTTTTCAAACAGGGGAGCGAAAAATAGTGCATGAAAGACGACGGATCAGAAGGCAAGGTGTTACAGATCGCACGCAAAATGTCTATCGCTTTTTCTTTGGCTTCTGCTTTTGCGATTTTGATTTAGACTCCTCTGAGTGTAGCTGCTGGGGACCAAGCATACCATGCAGAGAGAGCAGTTGACGGGCTACATTGTTAATGTGTTTGAATCGATCCGGTCCCAGCTGAATACCGCCATACCAACGTGAGACCTGGCAAAACATAAAAGATGTGTGTTAAGAAAGTCTATACCTCATCGCAAGGCATACGTTATGATAACGAAGTAGTGGCGGATAGATGAATTGAAGGTCAACAAAGCAACAACCAAATGACCCTCTTGGTATTTGTCTTCATCCCGGAATACAAGAAAAGGCTGAGGAGCACGAATGGAAGTAGAACAAGTCGCGCGTCACAAATAGTGAACCAGTCGGGCTGTTGTATGAAGAGAAAATGGTAAGAACATCAATCAGCTCTAATTCACACCACTCGCCGGATGAATGATAATCCTCAGTACCCAACGTTTCGCAGCTGAAAGTTGATACAGAAGCAGATTGGTCTCTGACAAAACCCCCTGACTAGTTGACAGTTACTTTCTCCCTATGCAATTTGGGCCTGGCGTCATTCGACGAGATCAAGAAGACAATACAAAACTGGTTGTTTCCCATGACTCCACACCCTGTAGGTGAAATGGAAAATGAGGTATTGCCATTGCCACCACAATAACACAGAACGGAAGAACAACTGCCTTCTGATGAACGTTGTCTGATAATGAAAGACAAAATTCTGCTGTCGAGAAGGAAATATATGCTGTCGTTAAGTCGGTCCGCAAATGATGGCATTAGTTAATAGGCTACTACTACTACTACTGCTACTACTACTACTACTGCTACTACTACTACTACCGGATCAGCAGTCTGTCTCATTTATGACTAACGCCGATCAGAAGGCCAAGATTAAAAATAACATTCGACGCTGGCGTGTTAAACTCGTGTTACATTATGTCTTGGTCTTAAAGCGAAAAAGATACGTGACTGTGGATGCCTTATCGCGTACACGTAACACGTTACAATGGCACTCTAGGAAATACATGATAGTATGTGCCATGCCGGAGTCATTAAAATGTTCCGTCTGGTTCGTTGACTGAATCTGTCCCAGCCGAGGAGGCGAAAGCAGTGTCCGCCGCTACAGCGCTAACGGTGAGAGTAAATACCGATTTTACAAACCGCTCGGAACATTTATTAAGGCAACACATCCTTTAAAGGCTAAACATGAATTTCGGGGGCCCCTTATCCCGAACAACCAAGAAGAAATACTTGATCACCATTGCTGATGAATATACTCGATTCCCGTTTGCCTTTGCTTGCAGTGATGACAGGTTCAACAGTAAGTGACTGTTTAAACCAACTCTTCGCTGTCATCGTACTGCCGCTCTACATTCATCCCTATCGCGGTGCTACATTTATGTCTCAGGAAGTGCGACATTTGTTTACAGAAAAAAAATCACGGTCAGTCAGATGAAGGCACACAACTCTCAAGGTAATGAACAAGTAGAATGGATTAATGAAATAATCTGAATTTAGATTACTCGTTCACTAAGATCTAAGGTCATCACAGTAATCCAGGGGATAGTGCATATATGGACGGTTTAGATTCCATTCGCCCCTTTCTCTGCACCACCACAAGCGTCACTCTCCCCATTAGACTCTTCTCTCAGCCGCAAACCAACATCATGGATCTCGCTGCCGAGCGTGCTGTGTTCAGATTCGTCTTGTTACGTCGTAATGTGAGAGCCTCAAAACAAGAGCCGGTAACGCAAGAAGCTCAGCTATTATATTATAGTCCACAGTGTGCTCACATTCGAATCCCAGCTGGAAAAGAAAGAATGGTGTCACTGCGTCCGTCTAATGGTCATTCTAATCATAGTACAGAACTCCCTAAAGACCCAACCACTTACACAATAAAGGCCACTCAGATGTCTTAGACAGACTTCCTCTGTCCACCTGATTGTTTACAGCTTTGGAGCAACAACAAAGAACGCGAGGATACGATCTGCGTAGGAGCGAGGCTTAACCTAGTTCGCAACCAGAAGGTCGGGGAGAATGATTTGTAAACTCACTTATTGATCGCGCATTATAACCTTTTCGTATTTCATTTCAACTTAAACGTTTTAGTTTTTTTCCTGGGAAAAGCCTATTCTTTCCGACTCATATTCTTCTCAATCGGTGTGTTCCACTTCATTCAATTCCAAAACAACCGACTCTAACAACTCATGAGCTGCGGTCGAGGGTTGGTCATGGAGTAAGACAATCAAAAGTCACCACATCTTCTGAAGTTGGCTGTTAGCTTTAATAAAAGTGTGAAATCGACTTGCATATTGGTGGCTATTCACCAGCATCCAGGCAGGTCGACTATCTTCAGCTAATCTGTGGTGTAAAATCGATCACGTAAATACCACGAGCAAATGATTCAGTAGAACTAAAGATGCAAAGCTTACAGACAAGCTCATTGGGAGCAAAGTCACGGTTAAGGAGCATATGACATCGGTAACCCACTGGTTTTGTGTTGCGATTCCTACCACACTAACAGAACCCAGGTAGCGCAAGTAAAAAATAAAGCAAGCACACCTAAACCAGTCACGAGTGGCGCGATAAAGGTAATATCTTGGGTCCTTTATTGTTCCAGTTATATGTGAATGACAGCTTTCTCCCCAGAAATCTAGTCCCCTTTACTGAAGACATGAAGGTGTTATATTTTTGATTCTACTGGTGTCAATGAGACGCTCAGTGCAATCAAGCATGTGTTACATTCGCTTGATTTGTGGCATTCTAGGTGTCATCCTGCGTTGACAAGTGCCGCATGCTATCCTACAGATGTGAAGTTAGGCCGAGTTCGTTTAGCATTGGTAGTGAGCCACTGTTCCACCGCCATGCGATCCACGACTTAGGGATACACTACTCAAATACCCTGAACTTCGCTGAGCACGCCGGATGTACTGTGACCCAAACTCGTAGGAGCATAGGGCTTCTACAGAAGAGGTTATTTGGATAGAGTCGAATAACACCATGTACAAAATACTAACGAGTCTTGCTAACACACAACTTTATGATATACTGCAACACTAGAAAGTGACCAATAGCGTCAGAGCGAGTGCAGCGATCATTTACCAAGTATCGTCTAAGATATTCCACCACATTATTACATAAGGACCGATGCACCAACATAAAATTTGATGAATTATGGCTGCGTAGTATGAAACTTAACCTAATTATCGTTGTTAATATCCTTACAAAAATACATTTTCCGAATGCAGTAGTATATAACTAAAAAACCAGCAATGTGTCACACAAGAAACAATAATAATACAGTGATGGTGAAAAAATGAAGAACGAAGCAGTCGGAAAGCGTTTCCTTAACCAATAGTCCATAGCATGAGACAGACTACCCTATGAGATACGTGAAATTCAGCCAGTGATTACGTTCCTTAAAGTTATGCGATCATTTTTCAATGTAGGACCCGGATTAAACAAATGGATCACTTTATGAAATAGGTGTAGTTTGGACTTAAGTTGGATGCAGATTTTCATCTGTCGTATGAATCGATAGTTTTTCGTTACTAAACACAGCAACACGTCGGTTTTTGGAAGCTTCGTGTCAAGAGTAGCACCAGACACTTTTTAGTGCGACGGCGATAAGTAATCGTGTAACCCTACATCTAAGCTAACTAAAGCGCAAAGTAACCTTCACAATTTGTTTCCATTTGGTCTGCATTGTTAGCTCGTCTTCTTTCCTGAAGGCAACAATTCGAGTATACATAGCATCACTTAATGCCACACAATATCAACCTCTTTGCTTCTCGAATGCATGCACCTGATGTATCTAGCGGAAAATTTAGAGATTTGCCTTGTTCATAAATACCTCGAAGGTTTACTTGTTTTCTTCCATCTCTGTGCACAAAGTAAACCTAATGAACCCCCGGACTGTATCTCTTACTAAAAAGCAATGGGTCAATTAGCTATTGTTGTTATTTCACTCTATTGCAACATTGCTCGTTTTTCTTTGCTTGTAACTACTGGGTCGATCTCCTGAAGTAAAGGATTGAAGCCTCCAAGCAAGGAGAATTGCCACAGACTAACTGGCGAGTAAAAAAGTTTCTGACTCGAAAGAGCTGAATTGCGGAACGGACTGATGTCATGAACCCTCATTCTATATGCATACAACAACGGCCCTAATGATAAATGCGATGCTGGCATTATGCCTTTAAGCCACACTAGATGGGACGTAGAGATGCGGATGAAACTTTCCGATGAACTATTCCGCATGGAAGTAGGTTTCTAGGAAACGGTTCCCCGGTTGATTGTATTACTGTAATTGAACATCTTACTACAACTACATTTTTACTATCAACTGATCAGTCTATTTAGTGCATTTAACTGGTCAACCACTCGGAAAACGCGCTTTGGAATCGACCTGACCAAATCGAACAATCGTCTATTTTATGCGATCTCACTGTACCAGTTGATCAGACCACTTAGTGAACTTTAGCTCTCGCAGTCTAGCAATATGTTACTCATTTATTTAAAGTTTTCGAGCCACTACTGTTTTTTGACCGAAGTGCCCGTTGCGGAGTTGTACGCTATCAGGCGCGTCCCCAGGTTGCGGATTGGAGAATACCTTCCTTGTGGAGGTAAGTGCGAATAAGTCCCGTTTGCTTTACAAGCGAGATGAATAAGCAGTCGCGCACAATCAGCGGCAGCGTCACAGAGCATGGAAAGTTCTGGGCTGGTCATCTAGTTCTCCATCAAATACCGCAACAGCTCGTACGGCGCTGTGTCAAAGCCAATGTGAAAGGTTATAGGGTCATGGATTACTAATTTAGGTAAGCATAGCCAAGTACCTAACGGAGAGCGGATGGACAAGCTTGCTGGCCACCGGCTTCTCTGTGGACTGCTATAAAACACAACGAAGGCGCAGAAGCGTAGCATAGGGGGGGGGGGGTCCGCTCCGGGCGGCAGGTGACGGCGTTTTTAGTACCCTCGTTTGTTCGGTACCAAATATAATGGGCGAAATATCCGGATAAGAAGAGGGTTGAATATCCTAATGTTACTCTGTATGACCAACAACACATTTACATCATGTCTCACACGTGTGCAAACGTTCTTCCCTGTAAGCTCCTTACTTGTCCCACTGTGGTCACTTTCACCATATTTACATC